GCCAGGGATTCTTTTCTAAAACGAATGCTACACTACCACTTGGCTGACCGAACAAATTGTATTTTGGCATTTAAGAGTGAGCTGGTTGTTGATGATCTGCCCTGCACATTGATTGTGTTTTGTCTATCCTTCCACTTAACAGTAGAAAAACATGTATTGTATTTTAAAAGCAATAATAGTTGTGCAAACTGTAGTACCTCAATAACCAGGTTAACAAAATCCGATGCCATTTAAAGGTGGGGTAGGTAATTGTGGAGAAACCAGCTCGAGTGCGCTAGAATTTGAAAATACACAGCCGGTACAAATCTGCCACTTCCTCACAGAGCCCCTCCTCCAACACACACGAACGCGCACATGACCAATGAGGGCACGAGATAAATTTGTGCACAGATGGAAGGCTGACAGGCAGGTAGGCCATCCAGTGACTTTAGCCGGCTCAGATGATTGGTCGTGCTTTTTACAGCACTCCGGCTTCCACAGATGACTTTTTGTATGGATTTTTTGTCAAAGCACTTCAGATATTCGTTGCTATCGGGATGTTAAGAGCATTCCATGGAATATAACAACAAGTGTATCTCGAGCCGGTTTCTCAAACTTACCTACCCCACCTATAAGTTAGTATAATGACTGAAAACAGGGAATCATTTGGAGTTTAAAGAGATCCTCCTCTGGACATTGAAGTATAGCTTCACATAAATATTTTCTACAAATTATTAATACTGAGATTTACTCGTAAGTAATCAGCACTTTAATATCTTTGGCAAATTTCATTCTTAATATTTAATATCATCAAAATAAAGGATTTGTTAAAGGTGCCAAGGAGAACTTTTCCAGAAATCCTTTTTTTAGGTGAAACATTTTTTTGTAGTACTGAAATCCTTTAAATTGGAAGAACACTATGTATTATTTACCAAGCATACTTACTGTATTGTACAGACTATATCAAATATATACTACTGAAGAAAATACAAAAATAGTTATTTTCAGATTTACAGTTTTTATAGTAGCGCAAATACTCAGATTATTGGTTGCAGCTCCATCACATTCACATCTGCACCTAGAGCCAAATCATCCCATTAGCGTTATTGCTGCTACCTGACACCTGATAAACATCGAGGCGAAGGGCAACGTTTGGTCATATTGATCTGTCAACATCAGATTACCCAACCCCAGGGCGACAGCAGTGAGTAAAACCTCATGTGACCCAATGCAGGGAGGAATCCCCTCACGTTAAAAACCTGACGCTCCATCATTCCTAATCCCATTTAATCCACATTGAAAACTAATATTTTATAATCCTGAACATTTCCTGCAGAAAATCTTAACGCTTGCATCGTGTTTCTGTTCCCTTTATATACATCAAGTAAAACCAGTGGTGAGATAAGTAATCAGATCTTGAGTAAAAGTAGAAGTACTCAGATCTTGTACTTGAGTAAAAGTAGAAGTACTCAGATCTTGTACTTGAGTAAAAGTAGAAGTACACAGTTCTTGTACTTGAGTAAAAGTAGAAGTACTCAGATCTTGTACTTGAGTAAAAGTAGAAGTACACAGTTCTTGTACTTGAGTAAAAGTAGAAGTACTCAGATCTTGTACTTTAGTAAAAGTAGAAGTACTTAGATCTTGTACTTGAGTAAAGGTAGAAGTACTCAGATCTTGTACTTGAGTAAAGGTAGAAGTACTCAGATCTTCTACTTGAGTAAAAGTAGAAGTAGATGTTGTACTTGAGTAAAAGTAGAAGTACTCAGATTGTGTACTTGAGTAAAAGTAGAAGGGGGCGCATACAACTACATGCTNTTAAATATCTGCCACAAGTTAACATAAGTAGCAGATCAAAGTAACATTACGTTCAGTGAGTGTAGACTTCAATGTGTCCCATTATCATTCATATCACATCATATCACATCATAATGTAATATATATATCCTTATCTGAGTCAGCTTCTTGAGCTGTATCTGGCCGTGCAACACTTACAGTTTCACATACTGTATGCAGAAGTATTATTTTAAGCAACACATTTAAAGGTGGGGTAGGTAATTTTGGAGAAACCAGCTCGAGTGTGCTAGAATTTGAAAATACACAGCCGAACAAATCTGCCACTTCCTTACAGAGCCCCTCCTCCAACACACACGAACGTGCATATGACCAATGAGGGCACGAGATAAGTTTGTGCACAGATGGAAGGCTGACAGGAAGGTAGGCCATCCAGTTATTTTAGCCGGGCCGGCTAAAATGATTGGTCGTGCTTTTTACAGTACTACGGCTTCCACAGATGAATTTTTTTATGGATTTTTTGTCAAAGCACTTCAGATATTCGTTGCTATCGGGATGTTAAGAGCATTCCATGGAATATAACAAAAAGTGTATCTCGAGCCGGTTTCTCAAACTTACCTACGCCACCTTTAATATAATTGATATCACAATAGCAAGTTCTTTGGTGAATTATTGAACAGAAGACATGTGCAAAAATATATTGAATAGAAAGCATAAATCCTAGTGGATGGAAACCCTGGTGTCTTTATTGTTCATACTCTGGATATTATGTTTACATGTTTCTCGAGACAGAGCCCAGCCACTGAGATTGAAAGTAACATTTATGAATCTGATATGAATTCAATTTTTTACAGAGAGGTCTGAAGGTCACTATAAGGCCGCATATTTTTTCTCCCAGTGCTGTACATATCATATCTGTTCCACAAAGGTCCATACAAACTAATACAAACTTACATACATGCAAATGCAATCCTATTAATCCATGTGAACAGGTGACATAAAAGTGGAACCAAACCACAGAGAACAGCTACTACATAATTACACTAAATTAGCAGGCAACATTATTTAACATTTTTTAATATCTAATATAATCAAGGTGATGCAATATGAGAGAAACACATTTGATTTTTAAGCAAAGGCATTCAGCAGCAGGGATATGGAAAAACCATCTGGTATCTATGTCTACAACGGCCTGCAATCCATGTCTGGTGAAGAAGAGTTCATGGTAGGGTCGGCTCCCTGAACATTTACTGTTTAAGTTAAACCAGGCCCCCGCCCCCCACCTGGCCTGAGCCTCCAGGATGTCGGCTTCACAGCTCTGCTGCCTGTTCAAGCTGCAGTATCTGCTTAGTGTCCATGCCAGCAGCTACGCCGTCCAACAAAAACACAGGGATCCCAGTGGAATCTTCTTGATCATCATCCTGAACTACAGTCTGGTATGCCTTTTTGTCCCAAGTGGCCTTATTTAGAACTTACTCTGGGGACACTAGGACAAAATGTCACAACATTCTGGAAACACATTGAGAAAACTGGTTTAAATAAAGTAATGCAATGCAAATTCAGAACAGACCCCTGATATTGCTGACAAGAGCCGCTCATCGTTCATTCAGGGATGTGAACTGAGGCCAATGCTCAGTGTGTCGAGCCAAGAAGCCCTTAACAAAAAGGTTGCTTGTTTATTCAAAGTGTATTAATATATCACTTGTTGCATGTCCAAATAACATCAAATCTGATTCTGCGTGTCCTTGGGTTCACACCAGCCTGCCAAGGTAGGATTAACAGTTCTTAAGCTATCAGATGGAGAGACGGACAGACAGACAGACAGACAGACAGATAGAGAAACAGACATATTCCTTGCTTTTAAGTACAATGAAGCGTTTGCCTTGTTTTCCTGGACAACTTTGGCCTTAAGATGATTGTTAGGGGTGCAGTCGATAGCTTGTGGGCAAGGACAGGGCTCTGGGTGTCAGGCGATGCTATAGCAGTTATATCAAATAGGGCACGGCCTAAAATCAGCTCCTGGACGACACCCTCTCCACCATCTCCCTCTGACGATGACGACAGGGACAGAGGTAGCCTTTCAGGTGCATGCGCACCTTGCTGTGCAGTGAGGCGTAGATAAAAGGGTTGTAACACGCAGAGCTCATAGCTACTAAATGACAGCAGACTTGTAAGACATTTATGTAGCGCTTCCCTATGATGTGGAAGTCTGGGTCCAGGTCCAGCATCAGGGTCAGCACCTGCACAGTGACATGGAAAAACCTGGCTGTATTTACTTATATTTACACATTTCTGCAACCATTTGTGATTTGTGTGTAAGCACTCTTTGGTTTTTGGAATGTGGCTCATTGTTTGTGCAATCCTACTGCAATGAAAGGTCTGAGCTATTCTACCATGACGATAAAATCCTCGGTGTTAGTTGTTTGCATCGCTCATTGCAGACAGTTAGTTTTGTGGCCATGGTGTACCTGGAATTAAGGTTCTGTGGTTAATGATGTATAACATTCATTATCTTATTGTCAGTTAAAGATTTCCCCTTTTCATCTTTTTACTGCTGTTGAGTTTGTGCATTTCTTAGTAGATACCTAGGAAGAATTGACTAGATCTTCCGCCAAAGCCCTACTCCTGAATCAAGACTTTAATCAAAATCCATGTAACAGGTTATATAAGGAGCAGAGAAGAGTAGTCGAGCTAAAATTGGCTCGAAGTTTGGCTTCATTTAAGAATTTTACAGTCTGGATCAGGGACTCACCTGCAGAGGCAGCCAACACAGGGCGAAAGCCAGCACTGAGGCCACCAGCAGTGAGAAGGTCTTCCTTCTCCTCTGGCTCCATCGCTGCTGGCTGTTTGATGGCTCCCCAGGCACTGAATAGCGTTTCAGGCTAACAGTAATGGCGCAATAAGATATGCTGACTGACAACAGCGGGATCATATAAGAGGCAATGAGAGTGAAGCAGGAGTAGAGCAGCCGAAGATTGCCAGTATGAGGCCAGAATTCTTCACACACTACAAGGTCGATGCCATTGGGTCGCAGGTCCATGTAGCGTGTGTAAAGAGACTGAGGTGCAGCCAGGGCCAGAGATAAAAGCCACACACCTAGACTCACTGCCCCACAACTCCACACAGAGATCCTCCTCCGTACTGGGTGAGCTGAGACAGGAAGGAAAAAAAGCATGAATGAAAACCAAAGCAATACAGAATTACTCATATTTAAACCACGATTAAATGTTAGATTTGCATTGTATTTAACATATTTTAAATAATTCTGAAAACCAAAGTATTTGTGTTCCATATTATGTTTTTTTTTTTTATCATGAATTCATTTCTTTTTTGATAACACCATTTGGTTGCAAAGGAACACATTTAAAAATCCTGCAAATAGCATGTTTATTAAGAAATTCTCAAAAAATAAACAAATAATGTAATATCCCTTACCCACAACAACGTAGCGATCCACAGCAATGGCAGTGAGTGAAAGCACAGATACGAACACTGTCGCACATTGCAGCAAGGGGACCAAATGGCAGAGGACTCTTCCAAAAGCCCAGCCACGACTGTCGAAGGCATAAGACACAGTCAGTGGAACACAAGTCAAACACATCAGCAAGTCTCCAGCTGCTAAGTTACTGATGAAAAAGTTGGTGGCATTGTGTAGTTTTTTGTCAGACAAGATGCAAGCCAACAGGAAAGAGTTTCCAACACCAGCCACGACCACTACGAGGGAATAGAGTGGCAGGAAGAGAGGTTTGAAACGTAGAAGAAGCTCTATGCCTATGAACATGTCCAGGGGGTCGCTGTGGTTGTATCCTTGGCTTTTGGTGCCTTCTAGTATTTCTTGTCCTGTTTCATGGCTTGTGTTACCATCAACACCTAAATCCCCGTTTGTGAAGATGTCCATCTTGCTAGAGGCCAACCTAGAAATAACGGAGAAAGCATAATCAACAATTAATCAATAGTAAAAGAAGTAATCAACCTCAAATTTCTGGTTATTTTGAGATAACAATGACAATCAATATGCTTCACCTGCACATGTCCTTAAGGGATTCATTTGATCAAAATGTCATCTTTCAGAGAATACAGCGACGCTTTGATCTATAACTTTCACATTTCCTGTTGAACACTGAAAGAAATACGCTTTTTATTTCTCATTTTGAGGACAAAGTCAAGTCAAGTGGCGATAAAGAAAATCTAGATACAGGTTTTTTATTATTTGAGCAGCCTATACCATTCTAATCACAACCATTTTAATTTTGCAGCAAATCAAACCCCAGTGATTAATATTTTAAGCACTGCTTAAACCAAAAGTGATTGAATGGCTTGACAGGTTACTACAAGAGTTTAGTAACTGTCCCTTTAAAGACTGGGCAAGCATGTTAAAGTGCAAAGGCTTCAAACTATTTGGACACGAGGAATTAATTTGCAAGAGTAGTATCTCCCACAGAAACCCCCCATAGTCACGGAGCTTTTGTGGAAAACCCTTAACAGGCATATTTAAAAACAATAATGGGATGTCAGTAAAGGTCCCATGTCATGACCATTTCTACTGATCATAATTCCATTGTTGAGGTATACTAACATAGATGTATATTGTGCAACCAGCCCGAACACACACACACACACACACACACCCGCAGCCTGGCTGGGAGTTTGTGTGTGTGCTCACACACCGACTCACAGCCTCGCTGCGTCCGGCAGTCTCGTTTACGGCTGCGCCGCGGTGCTCACGGCGATCGCGGCCACTCTAGTCAATGGGTGCTATTCCACCACACGCGGCACGTTACGGCTCAGAAGCGTCCCAGAAGTGTCAGAAGCGCCTCGGCACAGGGCTCCTCTAAAATTAGGATAAATCCTATTTTTGACGTGGCTCAGCCACTTCCTGTCGGGCAGGCAGGAAGTGGAACGGTCAGAGCATATAGCATATATATATATATACATGGATGAGGATGCCGGCCCAAAACCGTGGCGCTGCCGTAACGCGCCGCAGACGGACCCGGCGGAATCTAGGGGTCAGGGAGGAGAAATCGGCAGAGCTGCAGCTGATTGAGTGTGTGTGTGTGTGTGTGTGTGTGTTTGTGTGTGTGTGTGAGGAAGTCCGCGGATTGGTCCAATCCACGGACTTAATGTAACGGCTCCACGGATTGGTCCATTTGGGCATGGGCACGTCACTGTACCCAGGAAGAAAACAATGGAAAAAGAGAAATCTCCAACGATGCGTTCTGGGGCAGCATAGACAGGTATTTTCCGAGCTTTACTCGCTACAGGGTGTACTTTGAGGGTTTGTGACTCTGCAGACCGTTTACATGCATAAAAACCTTCATAACACACAAGGGGACGGGTAATAACCGGGAAAGCATGACATGGGACCTTTAAGCTTCATTGGTGGTAGGCTACGACTTGAGCCATGTGAATGCTACATTAGCTTGCTAGTTTGCATTGTCCCAAAGGAAAACATACAGCTAGCACTGGACTACTTTGATACTGAAGTAAACTCAAACATTTTGATGATTTTCAGTCAAGTTCTGGAGTTACAGTATAAGGAGTTGCGATGGTTTCCGAGATGGTGGAAGTAATATTCGAGAAGTGTAAGTCATTCTGCATGTAAAAATAGAGTATGTGCGTCGTGTCGGTGTGTTCAAATTTGACTGAGACTGGTATTGATCTTTCTAATAATCTTTAAAACGCCTGGTGTTTGGTCTGAAGCCTTTCAGCTTTTGTATGGCTCACCGCAGTAAGAAAATATGTCAAGACAAATATTGTTTTGATCCAAAAGTCACCACAGAAATGCTCCGACTGATTGTTTGTGATATGCATAGCTTCATTTCATATAATCATTTCGTTTATTTATTCCTCTGCATGCAGTTGCTGTTTGTTTGAGTTTAAATGAAACTGTTCTGGAAAGAGGTGAATTCTACAGGCAGACTTTTAATATGTGTGGAAGAGCTGACTTTGAACATAAATTACTTCTCATGAGAAATGCTTTTAAGATTTACTGACTTGTCTGGAGGGTCATTAGAGATGATTGACATATTTTCTTGCACCTCAATGCCATATGATGATGTATCATACTACATTAAACGTTATGCAACTGTGTTCCTTTCCTTCAGATGGCTGTTAAATCCATTATTTCTGTAGATATAAGGCAATGGTCCACAGCTATACAAATATCAAGAAGAGGGTAAATCAGTGGGAAAATCAAATTTGGTTTTGTATTGTCAAGAATATATACAATATGGTGCAGTATTTTCTGAGAACTTTAAATGCTAACATTATTAATTAGATTAGTATTTTAACACTACTCTGCATTATTCTGAACAAACAATAGATGATGTTATCTCCCTCCTTGATGCCAAATGAGAAATGTTAAAAGCTTTGTTGGTTAATACTTAAAAACTCTGTATCAACTTATATCTGAAAAAGCACAGGCATAATTAATAACATTAATATCTACAAACCATCTGGCCATTAAATCCCACCGGCATCAAAGTCAAATCAGGCCAGGTGCATAAAGGGCCAATGGTCCCCCCACCATTTCCCACCTACTTCCAGCACTCTTGCTCAGATCACAACCATCTTCTAAATCTGCCTTTATTTTCATCTTAAATAAAAATGTATCGTGATGCCAAATCATGCCAGGGGCATAGGGGTCTAATGTGGGGAGACTCATTGAATCTTAAATACACATTGTGAAGTTTTGTGACTGCATCTTGCACTGTAACAGACTTTCACAGTGACACCATATTTTCACAGACTGACATATAAACACTTGTGCTATTTCTCAAAATGGCCTCTGTGGTGCTACAGCAAGTGTCTCCAGAAGCACATTTGGCAATAATGACACACACGCAGACTCCCAAGGAGAAAACAATACCAACTGTGCTTTCCCTGCAAGTCAAAATGTTTGCTGTGAAAATGGTCTATCTTTACTGTGGTAAGTGAAGATTTCAAAACATCAGCTTTGAACAAAAAATAAGGCTGGTTACTCCAACTGCCATGCAGCCCTGACATCTCTCCAAGTAAGCATCTCTGAGTTGTTTGTTGAATGCTGACAAATAAAAAGCCATCATAGCCTTCTTTAAAATTACAGTTTGCTCAAACTCTACCAGCATGGAGAGAAAATTGACCTAAAGAACAAGTTTCACATCTTGAAAAATACACATGGGAGATAGAGGAACAGTGCCCATCCTAAACGGGTTGTTTGATGGATCTGTTACACATTAGAATTGTCTTTTTTATTCACCACATGTGAAGCACATTCTCGTGCAGCTGGCTAGAAGTAGCTCTTCTCCAGCATTCTCTGACCTTTAAGCCTTGGCATTTAATGTAGAAAAACTGTTCATTTTGTTAATGTCAACTTCTCTTTCTATTGACAAAAAGGTGGACAAATAGATTTGCTCTCTCCTGACGGATTTGTTATATGTGTTTCTCTTTTTAAAGGTCTGTGAAAATGTAGTGGAAAGTAGATATTGATTGAAAGGTTCCTGAATGCAATGCTGTTATGCCGCAAGCTCTTCTGTCAGATATTGCAGGTTTTCACCAGCACATGAACTAGCTAAAACAGTTTTTGGTGGACCAACCTGATATTTTTACTTTGTCGTAAACAGATTTTGTCCTGGTGTGTCAAAACAGAATAATGATGTAAATAAAAAAGTGGATAATGCTTCACCTATGTGATCACTTAGAGGACCCTTTTTGAATAGTTTTAAGATTTCTGGAAATGATCAGGAAAATGTGTTATGATTAAGAGCAACTTATCTGACATTTAACAATTAAAAAAACAAAAAAGCCACTCGCACCAACTTTGACCTTTAAACCCAGCCTTAGGGAGACCTGACCCAGACTGTGCATCACACATCTACCTATTGTTACACGACTAAAAGCCAATATCACGTACCAGCTCTATAGTTCAGTTAAGACACTGTGTGCAATGTCTCCAAGGGGGGGCGTTATGCCAAACAAAGAGTCAGCCTCCCTCTGTGTTTTCAGTAAGGGTCACAACACGATTTGTTATTCCGTCGTAACATTCAGAAACAGCAGTCCAATTTGTTATGAGTCATACAAATTGCTGCTTGCTTATTCAAAAAGGAAACTGGGTCAATTTAAATTGTCTTGTCTTGTTTGTTTTGAGAGCAATCATTCTTTCCCTGACTAGACTTTCCAGTTTGAAGTTATATCCCAGACGTGGGCTTTGGAAAAAGGTATCTGATTGTGATTATTTTTCACTGGTATTGCAATTCTGATATGAATCACAATATTGAAGGGAATGATGATTGTCATCATTCCTTTTTTGTGGTCTATGATTTGTAGGCTTGAATGTTTCTGCAGCATCACAATACTTACCATTCATAATGGTATTTCTAACACATTTTGCCTCTAACATATTTTCCCCTTCTGTAATTTGGCTATTGCACTAGCCCATATTTGTTTATTTGGTTATAGAACTAGTCTTTAATTGGGTATTGCATTAGTCCATATTTTGATCATATTCAGATTTGTTTTTCAGCCTGATCTAGCCAATTGCGATGCAGCTTGATACTGAACTGAATCATTTTTTCGTATTTTTTGACCATAGAATATAAGCATCATTAGATTACTGAAATGCAGAGAACCTTTTATAATTACATTTGAATATTCTTGTTACATCCCCACTAGGGGATGGGGAAAAGCAACATACACCAGTTGGAATTGGTAATAATTATAAGGAGTTTATTAAATAACAGGATAACAAAATGGAAGGCACGCAGCCTGAAACAAACAAAAGGGCCAAAAGGGTGCAGGTTTAAATGGGCAATCAACCAAGGGGGGACTCTAATAAGAGAGCCTAATTACACACAAAGGAATAGATAGTAATAAACAAAACAGCAACAAAACAACCCTCACTATCTAAGTGGTACACACTAACGAAAGGAGACTGTAGGAAAATACAGCTATACTAATGGACAACAGTCAACGTAATTCTAAGCTAATCTATACACATCTAGGCAAGGCAAGTTTATTTATATAGCACATTTCAACACAAGGCAATTCAAAGTGCTTTACAAAAATGAAAGACATTAATAGCATTTAAGAAACATATTATGAAATTATATAAAAAAACACTCATTTAAAAGCAATGATATAAAATGGCATTTAAAAACACTAATTTAAAATCAAAGATACATGAATCACAGTTACAGTGCAATGTGAGATACCCACATCTGAACGAACCCCCCTTTGGAAAATTAGAATCTGACCCATGGTACCTTTTAGTTTTCGCCGAAACTATTCCTCTTTTTATTTTTGAATGCACATAGTTAAGATTACCTTGTCCTTCTAGGATTTTTTATGGTATCCTCCGTGAACCAGGGTCTTGAAACCAAAACTAATTCCTGTACCCCATGGTACCTTTTTAGTTTTCACCAAAACTATTCCTCTTTTCTTTAAATGCACATTAGTTAAAGTGGACCTATCATGCTATATTTGAATAATATATTGTAGGGCCATACCTATATAAAACATGTCTGCAAAGTTTTTTCAAAATACCAAACAGATCA